ATCTGTCTGTATATCTGTCTGTCTGTATATCTATCTGTCTGTCTGTATATCTGTCTATCTGTCTGTATATCTATCTGTCTGTCTGTCTGTATATCTATCTGTCTATCTGTATATCTATCTGTCTGTCTGTCTATCTGTCTGTCTGTATATCTGTCTGTCTGTATATCTGTCTATATATCTATCTGTCTGTCTGTCTGTCTGTCTGTTTGTATATCTATCTGTCTGTCTGTATATCTGTCTATCTGTCTGTATATCTATCTGTCTGTCTGTCTATCTATCTGTCTGTCTGTATATCTGTCTGTCTGTATATCTATCTGTCTATCTGTATATCTATCTGTCTGTCTGTCTATCTATCTGTCTGTCTGTATATCTGTCTGTCTGTATATCTATCTGTCTATCTGTATATCTATCTGTCTGTCTGTCTATCTATCTGTCTGTCTGTATATCTGTCTGTCTGTATATCTATCTGTCTATCTGTATATCTATCTGTCTGTCTGTCTATCTATCTGTCTGTCTGTATATCTGTCTGTCTGTATATCTATCTGTCTATCTGTATATCTATCTGTCTGTCTGTCTATCTATCTGTCTGTCTGTATATCTGTCTGTCTGTATATCTATCTGTCTATCTGTATATCTATCTGTCTGTCTGTCTATCTATCTGTCTGTCTGTATATCTGTCTGTCTGTATATCTATCTGTCTATCTGTATATCTATCTGTCTGTCTGTCTATCTATCTGTCTGTCTGTATATCTGTCTGTCTGTATATCTATCTGTCTATCTGTATATCTATCTGTCTGTCTGTCTATCTATCTGTCTGTCTGTATATCTGTCTGTCTGTATATCTATCTGTCTATCTGTATATCTATCTGTCTGTCTGTCTATCTATCTGTCTGTCTGTATATCTGTCTGTCTGTATATCTATCTGTCTATCTGTATATCTATCTGTCTGTCTGTCTATCTATCTGTCTGTCTGTATATCTGTCTGTCTGTATATCTATCTGTCTATCTGTATATCTATCTGTCTGTCTGTCTATCTATCTGTCTGTCTGTATATCTGTCTGTCTGTATATCTATCTGTCTATCTGTATATCTATCTGTCTGTCTGTCTATCTATCTGTCTGTCTGTATATCTGTCTGTCTGTATATCTATCTGTCTATCTGTATATCTATCTGTCTGTCTGTCTATCTATCTGTCTGTCTGTATATCTGTCTGTCTGTATATCTATCTGTCTATCTGTATATCTATCTGTCTGTCTGTCTATCTATCTGTCTGTCTGTATATCTGTCTGTCTGTATATCTATCTGTCTATCTGTATATCTATCTGTCTGTCTGTCTATCTATCTGTCTGTCTGTATATCTGTCTGTCTGTATATCTATCTGTCTATCTGTATATCTATCTGTCTGTCTGTCTATCTATCTGTCTGTCTGTATATCTGTCTGTCTGTATATCTATCTGTCTATCTGTATATCTATCTGTCTGTCTGTCTATCTATCTGTCTGTCTGTATATCTGTCTGTCTGTATATCTATCTGTCTATCTGTATATCTATCTGTCTGTCTGTCTATCTATCTGTCTGTCTGTATATCTGTCTGTCTGTATATCTATCTGTCTATCTGTATATCTATCTGTCTGTCTGTCTATCTATCTGTCTGTCTGTATATCTGTCTGTCTGTATATCTATCTGTCTATCTGTATATCTATCTGTCTGTCTGTCTATCTATCTGTCTGTCTGTATATCTGTCTGTCTGTATATCTATCTGTCTATCTGTATATCTATCTGTCTGTCTGTCTATCTATCTGTCTGTCTGTATATCTGTCTGTCTGTATATCTATCTGTCTATCTGTATATCTATCTGTCTGTCTGTCTATCTATCTGTCTGTCTGTATATCTGTCTGTCTGTATATCTATCTGTCTATCTGTATATCTATCTGTCTGTCTGTCTATCTATCTGTCTGTCTGTATATCTGTCTGTCTGTATATCTATCTGTCTATCTGTATATCTATCTGTCTGTCTGTCTATCTATCTGTCTGTCTGTATATCTGTCTGTCTGTATATCTATCTGTCTATCTGTATATCTATCTGTCTGTCTGTCTATCTATCTGTCTGTCTGTATATCTGTCTGTCTGTATATCTATCTGTCTATCTGTATATCTATCTGTCTGTCTGTCTATCTATCTGTCTGTCTGTATATCTGTCTGTCTGTCTATCTATCTGTCTATCTATCTGTATATCTGTCTGTATATCTATCTGTCTGTCTGTCTGTCTATCTATCTCTCTGTTTGTCTATCTGTATATCTATCGGTCTATCTATCTATCTGTCTGTCTGTCTATCTGTCTGTCTATCTGTCTGTCTGTATATCTGTCTGTCTGTATATCTATCTGTCTGTCTGTATATCTGTCTGTCTGTATATCTATCTGTCTGTCTGTGTATCTGTCTGTATATCTGTCTGTATATCTATCTGTCTGTCTATATATCTATCTGTCTGTCTGTATATCTATCTGTCTGTCTGTCTGTCTATCTATCTATCTATCTGTCTGTATATCTATCTGTCTGTCTATCTATCTGTCTATCTATCTATCTGTCTATCTGTATATATATCAGTCTGTCTGTCTATCTATCTGTCTGTATATCTATCTGTATGTCTGTCTGTCTATCTATCTGTATATCTGTCTGTATATCTGTCTGTCTGTATATCTATCTGTCTGTCTGTCTGTCTATCTGTCTGTCTGTCTGTATATCTATCTATCTGTATATCTATCTGTCTATCTGTCTGTATATCTGTCTGTCTGTCTGTCTATCTGTCTATATGTATATCTATCTGTCTATATGTATATCTATCTATCTATCTATCTATCTATCTATCTATCTATCTATCTGTATATCTGTCTGTCTATCTGTATATCTGTCTGTCTGTATATCTATCTATCTGTGTATCTGTCTGTCTGTATATCTATCTATCTGTCTATCTATCTGTCTGTCTGTATCTATCTATCTGTATATCTGTCTGTCTATCTGTATATCTTTCTGTCTATCTGTCTATATATCTGTCTGTCTGTCTATCTATCTGTCTGTATATCTGTCTGTCTATATATCTATCTGTCTGTATATATGTATATCTATCTGTCTGTCTGTCTGTCTGTATATCTGTCTGTCTATCTGTCTGTCTGTATATCTATCTAAAACATTGCATTAACATTTTAAAGACTGAAATAGCAAATTGCAAACTGTATTTGTCATGAATTTTAGATTTTCTGAAGAAATAATGTAAATAGTACATTTCTGAAATAATTACAATAACTATAATAATTATAATAATTGCAATACATTAAACTAAATTTTTTAAATAGAAAGACTGAAATAGTGTTGTCAAATGTACTTCAATAATCTTTGTTTACAACTCTGAAAATTTTTTTATAATGTAGATCAGAGCCGAATCCAAACCAAAACCCAACAAGATGAGGTTCTTTACTTTTCTGTATGTTGTGGGTTTAAACAAAGCATTTAACATGAATACAGGCTTCACATTTCAGTCCCTCCGGTTTGTTTTGCCCCATAGCCATCCATTATTAGTTCATTACTGTACATGCCATTCATGTTCGTTTAACTGAGATCACTGATGCAACAAAGAGATTAATCGCGTTACTTCACAGTTTAACCTATAAGCCCAAGAAGCTTGTCTTGAAGTTCTGAAGGTGGAACGAATGTGTAAAAAAATGATTTGCAGCTAATGCATCTAATGTGCAGACGCTTTAATGTCTGGTTTCTCTTTGCTGACTTATGCTGTCATTTAGCGGAAGCTTTAATACAATGCAACTTACAAATGAGGAACATCACCAGCAGTTTAACACCCAAGAGCAACAGAGCGTGTGATACTGAAAAGGCAAGTTTCAAGAATAAACTAGAGCAGTGCAGAAGCAGAAGCAGAAGCATAAATGCAGATAAGAGTGAGAAGGGGAAACAAGATAAGCGTATTTTTGAAAAGCATTTATTTCTAGGAAGTATCTTTGAATGTGGTTTAAGCGCAGGAGGAAGAAATGCTTCTTGTTCCTCAGGAATGTGTTTTTTTGAGATGCGAGTATTCAGATGCTTTGCACTGCGCTACTTTCCATTGTTTTTCTACATAAACATGCACTATAAAAACTTCCACCCCAAATATGATGATTTTTGTACATTTTAGGGGATTTTCCCCCCCCACCTTGTGATGTTTCTGGTCAAAAATTATTTGAATAAACGTCATGCAATATAATTGTTACCAAATGTTGGACTCAAATCTTTTCATCAACTTGCTTTCTATCAGTTAACACAGGTTTTGTACTTCTTTTTGGAAATGTCTAATCGAATAATAGGCATTATGCACCTCAGTTTTTGAGTGATTACTGTCAAAATTATCCACAAACGATGCTTTTTTCACTCAAAAACTGAGATGAACTCAGATCAATGAGGCCTACGATCAAACAGTTTCAAAATGAAACACACACAAAAAAGTATGTATGATAAAGATTGAATGGCAACATTTTACTCAAAGTCTTTATATATAATGCATAATTAAAGTAGTTGTAATGCATTCATTATGCCTTGTAATGCACCTTATATGATATCATGAATAATTGTAGCCACAGTTTTAATGCATTATAATACATTGTTGCAACTTTATAATGCATTAGAAAACAAAACAAACCTACAAATATATAATTCATTTTATCTTTGGTGACAATTGTTTATGAAAAGAAATAATGCATTACTTCGTACATTCTGAATACCTTAATAATGCATTATATATAAAGACTAAGTACTACTGATTGAATCCAAGATTTGGTGATAATATAGCATAGTGAGGGATTTTTCAAGCAATTTTTGAAAGGCTGGGCACTTTTGACCTGAAACACCAAATTAGGTAAAAGATTTTCAGCAGCAAAAGGGTTAAAAAAACAAAACAAAAATGAATGAAAGCAAAAGCGCATTCTGTGTGAGTGCAAAACCCACAGCAGACTAGATT